TTGATATTTCTAAGTTGAGGGAAATAAGATATTTGGTAGAAGTTTTTTTACAACTTTCTTATAAGTATGTTAGAAAGAAAATCATTAAATAATTAATTGAAGGTTAGTACATATTTTCTTAAAATAACTTATAACCTAAAAAGCATCTGAAAGTTCATCAAGTATAACAAATTTCGTCAATAACTTTGCACTTTTTTATTATTTGTTACTGATGAATTTGCAAAGTTTGTATATAGTATTAATTTTGGTATTCACTAAGTCCATTGTATATTTAAGTAGTGTCTGTGATCATCATCTTTAACTAGTCATAGTATTTTATATAATAGAAAAAATTCTTTACTTATTAGCAAAGAATCAGGATTATCATTGCGAATATTTATATAGTAAAGAATCGTTATTGATCATCATCAAATCAGTTGATTTTTTGCTAAGTAGTTCAATTGATTTTTTATAAGAAGATATCATAGATGTAGAATATTTGAGAGGTTCCAAAAGTTTAAAAGGTGTAGAAGATTCTGAAGATCCTAGCAGTTTTGAAGGTTCTTATAGTTTTGGAAGCTCTAACAGTCCTGAAGGTTTAGTTAAGAAGATAGATTCTTTAAGGGATAATGGATTAAAGGTTAGTTATAATATTAGTTTTTATTTATATTATAGATTATTTATTACGTAATATTTGCGAGAATTTGCCTTTAGTAGATCTAGAAGCTTTATCTTGTAATTGTTAGGTTCCAATAGAGGTCTCATTTTATATAATAGATCCTTTTTTTGTTTACATTTGTGCATGTTGTTAAAAGAAAAAGATGTTGTTAAAAGGAAAAAAAAGTTAGAAAAATTTCGAGTGTAGAAAAACTAAAACTCTTATTAAAGGAATTTCACGTATAGAAAAAATGTCGTTAAAGAAATTCTAAGTGTAAAAAAATTATTGTTGAAGGAATTAATGATGGAAGAAACCCATGATTTATATATTAAAAAAATGTGTATAATTGCGTAATAATTATTTATATTGTTCTAAAAATAAATTTAA